ATTGCTGAGGGAAATCAAGACAAGAACTCAACTCAAGCAAGGAACCTGGAGGCAAGAGCTGATGAGGAAGTCACAGAGGAATGCTGCTTACTGGGCCACTCAGCCTGTTTTCTTACATCGCCCAGGACCACCAGCCCAGGTGTGGTACCATCCTGGACAGGCTAGACCTTCCCACATCAATCACTAATTAAGAAAATGCACTATAGGTTTGCCTACAGGCAGATCTTAGAGGATATTTTCTCAGCTGAGAGTCCCCTTTCCCAAATGACTCTAGCTTGTGCCAAGTTGACATAACACTAACCAGCACAGAGTGTAAATATAAATTTGTTCAAATAACTGGACCAGAGAGCATACTGTCTGCATATTACATGATATGAGGGGGAAGCATGGACAGAAAATAAATCAAGGAGAGTGAGCTTCCCTCTCAGTTTTGGAGGGCTTCCTATGACATTTTGTCATTGGTATTCCAAAATCCAAGATTCATAACATGACCAAAAATAGTGGCAGATCTCCTCTGAGTTCAAGGCCAGCCTGGTCTATAGAACAAGTTCCAGGACAGCAAGGGTTACACAGAGAAACCCAGTTCAAAAAACCAAAAGACTAAGTTTCAGGCTAGCAGAGTTACAATAATGAGACCCTGTCTCAATCAATCAATCAATAAATAACAGGTTGGAGAGATGGCTGAGAGGTTAAGAGCACTGGCTGCTCTTCCAGAGGCCCTGAGTTTGATTTCCAGTAAGTACATGGTGGCTCACAGCCATCTATAATGAGATTGGGTGCCCTCTTCTTGCATGCAGGCAGACATGCAGGCAGAGCATAATAAATGTAGGGCCCTGCATGGACCCCTGAGGTGCCTTGAGCTAGCCTGAAGCTGTTGGTGGGAACTCTTTGCCCCAAGGCTTTTGTTGGTACTCTTCCTGTGACAACACACCTCGTGACACACACCCAGTGACAACCATACCTTGTGACAACACAGGGAAGAGCTAAGCCAAAAAATTCCTGTAATTTTCCACTGTGCTATAAGTCGGTATTTAAGCCCATTCATGCCCCTCAATAAACAGCATTCGGCATTTGGCGTTCCGACTTTGCCTTTGAACAAATGACCCGCTATCTTGTCTTTATTTCAATCTCTAGGCCTTTCGCCCGATTCATGGAAGAGATGGTAGCACGGGTGCTACAAATAAATACATCTTTTAAAAAACAACTGATGGAGGGAGGGAGAGAAAGGGAACTGGGATCAATATGTAAAATAAAAATTAAAAAAATATATAAAAAGAAACAACTGATGAGTATGTCCTTCTGTATATGTTTCTCTTATTGGTTGATGAATAAAACAGTTTGGCCAATAGACAGGCAGGAAGGATAGGCAAGGCTACAAGAGGAAGGAACGAGAGAGGGAGTTGCCAGGAGGAGATGCCATGTTGACCGGGAAGATAGGATGCATAGATTAGTAGTTATGGATTAATAATTAAGAGAGAGCTAGCCAGTAAGAATCCCTAACCATCGGCCAACAGTTTTATAATTTATATGTCTCTGTGTGCTTATTTGGGGCTGAAGGGTGGCAAGACCTGGTGGGACAGAAACCTCCATCTCCAAACTACAAAACAAAACAAAAACAAAAAACAAACAGAAACAAACAAACAAAATCCTACAAAGCCAAAGACAGTATTGGCTGCTACCTCCTCTCATGGAGCTACTCCATATTCGAAAAGGATCTGAAAACTTGTAAATAAGTGTCTCGACTTTTTGTAACCCAAAGCACCCAGCCTTTCTCTCAGGCAGACCCAAGTGATATCTTCATCCTTGGATGTGAGACTAAGATATTCCACCGGGGAAAGCCAGGAAAGTGACAAAACTGTAAGTGTGAACTGGGTGAGGGGGTGGAGGCCCGTAATCCTCAGCATTCGGGAAGCTGGGGCAGGCGAATCTCCACAGAGCTCCTGGTCAACCAGAGCTACATAACAATACCCTATCTTAAAGAAACAAACATTCAGGGATGGCACATGCCTTGGATCCCAGCACTTAGGGGGCAGAGGCAGGCAGATCGCAATGAGTTCGAGGCCAGCCTGGTTCACAGAGCGAGTTCTAGGATAGCTAGGACTACAGAGAGAAACCCCGTTTGAAAAAGCAAAATCAACCAAACAAACAAAAGCACTAGGTAACCTACAACTAAGGGCAAAATAGTGACTTGCAAAGTGCTAAGAAGGACCTGTGGGTAAGAAGCCACGAAAAACACAGAGGCGTAGCAAGAACCCCTGGACAAAGGGGAGTCAGATGGTGAGGAACAGAAACAGAAAGGGAAATGATAGAGGCAGAGAAGGGCTCTCATCAAGACAAGAGAATGGTGCCAGAGAACACCTTAGTAAGAGACATTTGTATTCACCTTAGGTAGATTTCCCCTCTCTTTCTTTATTTTTTTATTTTTTATTTTATTTATTTATTTTATTTTATTTTATTTTATTTTATTTTATTTTGAGAGGGTTTCTCTGTGCAGCCCTGGCTGTCCTGGAACTCGCTGGCCTCAAACTCACTGAGATCCACCTGTCTCCACTTCCCAAGTGCTGGGATTAAAGGTAAAGGCGTGCACCAGCCACCACCACCAAGACCACCTTAGGTAGAGTTTAAACTGCTTTTTCTTCCTTTAGAAGTGTTTATTTATTTATTTGTTTGTTTGTTTGGGTTTTTTGTTTGTTTTGTTTTGAGACAAGGTCTCTCTGTGTAACCCTAGCTATCCTAGAGCTCCCTATGTAGACCAAGCTGGCCCAGAACTCAAGAGAACCTCCTGCCTCTGCCTCTTGAGCTCTGCCCAGGAGCTGTCACCACGCCCAGCTTCTTCAGTTTAAAATGAAAAGCAAATTGGGTCTTCCACTTCACCTGTACAAAAGGAAGTTTTGCTTTAGTTACCTTCTTTTTATTTTTGAAATGAAAAGGTGTTTTGTTTGTTTGTTTTTTTCTAAAGATGTATAGTGTTCAGATGACTCAACTATAAAAAGAAAGATTCTTAATCTTAATTTTTGTAACATGAGGCTGCTGTCATTTCTGGGGTCTCATGGCCACCCACGTGACCATCAGCATTCAGGCAAACTGCCCAGTCATTCCAGGTGTTAGCATTTCTGGGGTTGGCTGTGGATCCGCCATCAGCATAAATGCCGTCTTCCCAAGGCCTTATGCATGTGCACAGTGTGGTCATGTCATCCATGCGTATACAAGGTGTGGCTAGGTAAGCTCCCATATGCATGGGCCATGTGACCTTTAAAAGCAAATATGCCCAACTCCCTCTCTCTCTGCACGTTTCTTGCAGACAGGCCTGTGCACACCCCCTCTCCCTACTCTTTACTAATAAAACTCTTAAGTGGGTTTTTGTTGCATATCTTATGGTGTGTTCTCGAACATGGTAAATAACAGAGGCTGTGTTGTAGAAACTTGTATTATATAAAAATATCAAACAAAGACCATGGGAGTGCAAGCCAGTACCCAGTACTTGGAAGGCTCAGGGAGGAGTATAGCCACAAGTTGGAGGCTAGCTTGGCCTCCAATTTGTTCCAGATCGCCCAGGAAGACAGAGACTGGGAATGCAAGCCCTGGTGGGATGCTTGTCGAGCTTGAGCGAAGCCCTGGGTTTGATCCCCAGCACTTCATCAACTAGGCAGAGTGACACAAGCATGGGGGTAGGGGCTGGAGGAACAGACTTTTCAGCACATCCTGCCTTCCACAGGGAGCACAGAGAGTGTGCAGTCAGCCTGGTTGACCTGGACAGCCTTGACTCAAACAAGGGAGTGGAGAGAAGCGGAGCGGAGAGGAAGGGGGGAGAGGGGAGAGGAGAAAAGAGAGGAGGGGAGGAGAAAGAAAGGAGTAATGATCCAAAGCCAGAAGGAAACCAGAGAGATAGAAACAGTCTGGTGAGGTTCAGGAAAACACGCCAAGGGAGAGCGATAAACAGGAACCCAAGGAAGAAAGGCAAGCTGAGCCAAACAGCGAGAGAGAGAGAGAGAGAGAGAGAGAGAGAGAGAGAGAGAGAGAGAGAGAGAGAGAGAGAGAGAGGGCTGATGGACGGAGGGCAGATGTGGGTTTGGGCCAGCCCTTCGAGGGAGCACTGAGCTCCCTCTCCAGTGTGGTCATAACCTCTGGAATGAGGGTGTGAGTGACTGCAAATTCCCTTCTGCCTTTTCATTCCAACCTCATTGTAACACTGCTTTCTAAGCCTCTGGCCTGGCCTCTTCTCTCTCTCTCTCTCTCTCTCTCTCTCTCTCTCTCTCTCTCTTTCCTTGCTCTCCCTCATCTCATTGTTTCAGAATAGGCCAAATCTGAAGTCCTTCCAAGGGTGTGGCTGTATTCATCTTATTCCCCAGCCCAAGTGGAACAGAGGGAAAGTGTGAGAGGGACAGACACTTTCGGCAGCCAGAGGACACAGTGCACAGAGGGAGCGGAGCACTACAGACAGTGAGTTGTTTACAAACAGACAGTGAGTTGTTTACAAAACTATACAGAAGGAATGTCTGTGTGTGTGCCTGCGTGTGCATGTGTGAAGAATGCCCCTGACTTAGAACGGAGCCCTCTCCCAGTTATGCATGGAATTCAAAAGAGGGGAGCACCAAGACTAGCTGAGCCCGTGGTACTTAAAAAGACACAGCCACACAAAGGGAGGATCAGCGATTAGGGGTGAAAGAGGCTACGGGGCAGGGCCAAGTATGGTTTCATTGGAATAGGAAAGCTCTTCCTGGCCACAGGCCTGTGTCCCCAGCTACCCAGAGGGTTGAGGAAGGGGGGTGGCTTGACCCAGGAGTTCAAGACCAGCCTGGACGATGAAAGGAGAGTAATGACAGTGAGGATAAGACGTGACCAAAGAAGAGATTTGAGGGAAACGAACGAATGTTGGATGAGAAGAAAGAAAGCAAGAAAGTTTCGGGGTGACAAAGGGGGGATGTGGGGCATCATTCCCTAGAAGTGAGACGCTGCCCTCTCTCAGCATCATGGTCTTGCTCTCCCTCTGCCTCTCTTAGACATGCTGTTCTTGGGAACCAAGTCACTGCTTCTTGTCATGGCGCTCATTATCCCCTCTGGTGAGTCCCTGCTTCGATTTAATATATCAGCTCCATAGCGCTACGTGGGCAAGGGACTGTGGGTTGATGGTAGGGATTGTGGGTGGATGGTAGGGGCTGTGGGTGGATGGTAGGGTCTGTGGGTTGATGGTAGGGGCTGTGGGTTGATGGTAGGGTCTGTGGGTGGATGGTAGGGGCTGTGGGTGGATGGTAGGGTCTGTGGGTTGATGGTAGGGGCTGTGGGTTGATGGTAGGGGCTATGGGTGGATGGTAGGGGCTGTGGGTTGATGAGGGATTGTGGGTGGATGGTAGGGGCTGTGGGTGGATGGTAGGGTCTGTGGGTTGATGGTAGGGGCTGTGGGTTGATGGTAGGGGCTGTGGGTGGATGGTAGGGGCTGTGGGTGGATGGTAGGGGCTGTGGGTGGATGGTAGGGGCTGTGGGTGGATGGTAGGGGCTGTGGGTTGATGGTAGGGGCTGTGGGTGGATGGTAGGGGCTATGGGTTGATGAGGGATTGTGGGTTGATGGTAGGGGCTGTAGGTGGATGGTAGGGATTGTGGGTTGATGGTAGGGGCTGTGGGTGGATGGTAGGGGCTGTGGGTGGATGGTAGGGGCTGTGGGTTGATGAGGGATTGTGGGTTGATGGTAGGGATTGTGGGTGGATGGTAGGGGCTGTGGGTTGATGGTAGGGGCTGTGGGTTGATGGTAGGGGCTGTGGGTTGATGGTAGGGGCTGTGGGTTGATGAGGGATTGTGGGTTGATGAGGGACTGTGGGTTGATGGTAGGGGCTGTGGGTGGATGGTAGGGGCTGTGGGTGGATGGTAGGGGCTGTGGGTTGATGGTAGGGGCTGTGGGTGGATGGTAGGGGCTATGGGTTGATGAGGGATTGTGGGTGGATGGTAGGGGCTGTGGGTGGATGGTAGGGGCTGTGGGTTGATGAGGGACTGTGGGTTGATGGTAGGGGCTGTGGGTGGATGGTAGGGGCTGTGGGTGGATGGTAGGGGCTGTGGGTTGATGGTAGGGGCTGTGGGTGGATGGTAGGGGACTGAGGCTGACTGAGCCTGATAAGAAATGCGCTGTATCAAAGACAAAAGTACAGAACGTGAGATCTTAGACATAAAGTACCTAAGAAACTGATGTGAGATTAAAATATAAGTGCTTATTAATCACTAAAAGAGAGTTGCATCAGATATATAACTAAACAAACACCAAAGGGACAAGAAGTTACACAAACATACAGAGACCACCTATTAGGAAATTAGGCTACCTTAAAAAGCCTTGAGGGAAAGCCGCAGAAACATGCACATTAACACTCAACACTTGCTTGGGCAGACACACGTGTATTCACGTACGTGAAGGAAGTACTGTTACACCTACACACGAAAGAAAAGTGATCTTCACAAGTGCCACAGACTCTAGCTCAAGGATTGGCCACAGAAAGCAACCTTGGACTTTCTTTCTGCCAGATGCAGACTGACAAAGCATTTCTTTGGCCTCACAGGAGCCGTGGGCCTGGGCAAGACGTGCTCAAAAGGCTGCAGGGCTCCTCTGTGGACCACGGCCCTTCCTGGTTGGGAGTGAGGACAAGAAAGGAAACTGAGTCAGGGAAGAACAACAGCAGGCTTTGTTTTCAAGAGCTTGTCTTTCTGGAGTGGTGGTCTTTTTGGTTTGGTTTTGTTTTTTATGCTTGATTAGTTGTGTGCATAGCCTAGTGGTCTTGTGTTGAAATATATAGGGACAGATCACAAAGATAACGCATATTTTTTCCATTGTATTCCGGTTTGTCTGGCAAAAGCATTCTGGTAGAGAGAGATGGAGTCACACACCCCCTCTTTTTTCTTTGTGACAGGCTGGCTTCCCCTAGGGGTCAGTGGTCAACGAGGAGGTAGGTGAAGTTTTTCTTATGGGGTCAATGGGGTCCTTGCCAGGGTGACACAGAACAGTGAGGGTTGAGGCTCTGTTCTAGGACTAGGTAAGGCGGTGTACGCTGTAATCCCAGGACTCAGGGAGAGGAGGCAAGCAGATTGAGTTCAAGACCATCCAGGGACACAGAATGAAACTCTCAGACCAGAATCCGCCCTCGGACAGAGAGCTACACTTCAAAGTACCATGCTTAACAATTATCTGCAGTCTTGAAAACTGAACCCAGGTCTTTACATGTTTGACATGTGTCTTACAAGTGGGCTACATCCCTACACATTTTTCTTTCCTTACTGGACAGGAAATTCTACTTGATTCCTTTATTACTCTTTGTGATGATGCCGTTAAAGCTAGGGCCACACAAATGCTGAGATAATACTGACCACCAGCCTGCACACTCGGCCCAGGGAAAAGCACTGTTCTACGCACATGAGCAGCCAAAAACTACAATGCAAAGCCATGGTAGATGATAGAAAGTCATCTCAGGCTTTTTCTACTCTCTCTCTCTCTCTCTCTCTCTCTCTCTCTCTCTCTCTCTCTCTCTCTCTCACACACACACACACACACACACACACACACCTCAGTAAACTTGGTGAATGTAGTGCTGAAAATTGAACTTTACCCACTGAGCTACATCTTCAGACCCATCCAAGTCCTTTCCTTCCCTTCCCTTCCCTTCCCTTCCCTTCCCTTCCCTTCCCTTCCCTTCCCTTCCCTTCCCTTCCCTTCCCTTCCCTTCCCTTTCCTTCCCTTCCCTTCCCTTTCCTTTCCTTTTGAGACATGGTCTCACCCTGTAGCCTCACCAGGCCTGGAAGTAACTCTATAGATCAGGCTGGCCTTGAACTCACAAATCTACTTGCCTCTCCCTCCCCAGTGTTAGAATTAAAGGTATGCACCATCACAGCCATCTTATGTCTATATTTTAATATTCTGCATCTATATCTACAGCAATAAATATATATTAGGGACATGTTAAACAAAATTATAAAATAATGCTTTACACTTGCAAAGCACAATGCATTCTGATATATTTATCTTAATTCATTTGAAAAATGCTAGTTGTCAGCCAGGTGGTGGTGGTGGTGGTGGCGGTGCACACCTTTAGTCCTAGCACTTGTGAAGCAGAGGCAGGTGGATCTCTGTGAGTTCTAGGTCAGCCTGGTCTACAAAGTGAGTTCCAGGACAGCCAGGGCTACTCGCAAAGAAACTCCGTCTCAAAAAACAAAATAAACAAACAAAAAGCCAATTGTAAATGCAAAATGATAATATTAATAACAATAGTAACTACTAAAGCTAGACATGGTGGTACATACTTTTAATTCCAGCACTCAAGAGGCAGAGGGGCAGATTTTTGAGTTGCAGGGCTAGCCTGGTCTACATAGTGAGTTCCAAGATAAGACTAGGACTATATAGTGAGACGTTCTCTAAGGAGAAAAGTAAAAGAAGGACCAAGACTCCTTTTCCTTTCTTCTCCTATTATGCCCAAATCTGAGAGTCTAAACTTACAGATTTTAGCACAGTGAAAGCTAAACAGCCCCTGAGCTGGCTCCTCCCAGCTGGGTAAGGACCCATCCTGTGATGTGATTTCCCAATACACATTCTGGTTTCACTGATTTCTTTTCAGTGATTTTCCAGCCCTAAAGCTGGAAAGCATTAGACGGTGGTGGTTCATACAGAGTTCTTCCAGCTGAGATGGACGCAGACACTGGGGAGTCTGCCCTGCAGTCCCATAGCCAGCCGCCCTACACTTCCAACTACTCCGCTGACCTCACTGCTTTTCTGTGTGTGGCAAGCCTGGAATGTGGGCTAGCCTCTTGAGGCTGGACAGGGAGGGATGGAGGTCCACCCTGAGGAAGCCCTACTGCCCCTTCAGTGATCTCAGTCAGTAATTTTTCAAATACCCTCTGGAAATGGAACATTAATTTTATCAAAAAATTGTGCTGGATGGTGGTGGCACAGACCTTTAATCCCAGCACTCTGAAGGCAGAGGCAAGTGGGTCTCTGTGAGTTTGAGGCCAGCCTGGTCTGCAGAGTGAGTTCTGGGACAGCCAGGGCTCTGTTACATAGAGAAACCTTGTCTTGAAAAATGAAAATCAAACCAAACCTAAGAAACTTGTTCTGAGCTGAGAGATAAATGGGGATTTCAAGGCCAGCCTCAGATGCCTGAATTCAATGGACTCCAGACCTTTCTTATGGCTTCTTGGGCATGGGGCCCAATGTATCACAGTCTTATATGCAACCGCAACACTCATCCAAATAAGGTAATATAAAACAAAATAAGCCCTTACTACCCATTTTTTAGATTTATTTATTTTATATGTATGTTTTGCCTTCATATATGGTCATGCACCAAGCCTGTGTCTCGGGCCCACAGAGGTCAGGAAAAAAAAAATGTGCTGGGAACTGAATCCAGGTCCTCTGCAAGAGCAACAAGTGCTCTAATCTGCTGAGCTGTCTCTCTAGCTCATACTTCTTTTGAAAAGTCACTGTGTTGGACATCAAATGGGGGATAAGCAATGTGAGCCCCTAAACTACAAAAGAAAATTCAAGTTTGCTTGTCTGCCTGCCTGCCTTCCTTTCGCCCTCCCTTCTCTCCCCCTCCCCCTCACTTTCTTCCTTTCTTTCCCTTTTCTTTTCTTTTTGTTGGTTTGTTTTGAGACAGGTTTCTCTCACCTGCTGGCATCAGAGGTGTATTCTGCCATATCCGGCTCCTCCCTTTGCTCACAAGGTCTCCCGTGAGCTGACTTTGAACTGTGGATCTTCCTGCCTCCACCACCAAAGTGCCTAGATTATAGGCACAGACCATACAACAAGGGCTGGGTGAAGATTCGGCATGGCTGACTCCCAGGGTTCAGTGATGCCTCCCCAGGAGAACCACAGCATGGGCTGAGGCTTCTGGGGGCTTTGGCATAGCAAAAATTACATGTGAAAATGACTCTGGTTTTGAGATGGGGTCTGAACAGAACGACATGGCTATTTTTTCATGTTTTACTTTTTAGGAGTTTTGTAACCTTTTGCCTTTCAAAAATACTCTGAGGTCAGGCTTGGTGGCACGCATGTTTGATACCAACATCTCGGAGGCAGAGGCAGGAGGATCTCTGTGAGTTCTATATAGTGAGTTCCAGGATACTTAGAGCTACATACTGAGACCCTGACTTTAAAAAACAAACGAACAAAAAACATTCTAGAAGATTCGAGACAAGTTTTTGGTGGTGGTGTTTTTGTTGTTGTTTGGTTGGTTTTGATTTGTTTTTTGTTTGCTTGCTTACTTTTTTTTTTTGTTTGTTTTGAGACAGGGTTTCCCTGTGTAACAGCCTTGGCTGTCCTAGAACTCGCCATATACACCAGGCTGGTCTCAAACTCACAGAGATCTGCCTGCTTGCCTCTGTCTCCTGAGTGCCGGGATTAAAGCCACCTGACACCATTCCCGTCTCAGGGTAACAGGTTTTTCCTATGTATTCAATCCTTGTGTGAGAGTCACCAGGCCTAACTTGATAGACATTCCCTAAAGAAACCATTAATAAATTTGGAACTGAGGAGAGCTGTTCTTAGAGGTTTAAATCTGATTTACAATCTAAAGCTTTAGAAAAATGAACCAAAAGGAAAAAAAAAAACAAAAAAACAAAAAAAACAAAAAACAAAAATCCCATGGCAAACCATGTAAATTTGCTGCCCTCTAGTGGGGAAGGGTGGATTTTGACTGTAGACCACAGTCGAAAATATTTGCTGAATATAGTGTTTAAATATTATTACTCCCTACACACAAAAGGCAACTTTGTGAGGATGTAAGTATATTAATGTGACTACTTGGCTGCAGCAATTTTTTTCACTTTATTTGTGTGTATCAAAGCATTATGTCATATGCCTTAAACATGTATAATAAAAATATACACTTTTGCCGGGTGGTGCTGGCACATGCCTTTAACCCCAGCACTCTGGAAGCAGAGGCAGGCGAATCTCTATGAGTCAAAAGCCAGCATGGTCTACAGACTGAGTTCCAGAGTTCTAGGTCAGGCAGGACTACACAGAGAAAACCTGTTTCAGAAAAAAAAAAAAAAAAAAAAAAAAAAAAAAAAACAAGAAAACAAAATGAAACAACAATAATAAAACCCACTTTTTCAGCCAGACACTTAGCACACTAGAAGCTGTGCTTAGCATGTGTAAGGCTCTGGACTACTCCCCAGTTTAACACATACACACACACACACACACACACACACACACACAAATTACAATGTCAGTTGAGCCTAAGTGAATTCACACCTACCATCCCAGACAGGAGGATTTTGACTTCCAGGTAAGCCTGGGATACCAAGCAAGACCATGTCTCAGAATAAAGAGACGGCCATGCCATTAATATTTTTGCTCAGTTGACAGTGTGGCCACCAAATTCACAAAGCCGTGGGTTTGACCCCCGCCCCAACTCCACATAACCAGGTATAGGGACTCATGCTTACCATCCCAGCACTTAGGAGCCAGAGATCTGAGGACTTGGGGTTCATGGGCATTCTCATAGTGAGTGGCACACCAGCCTGGACTACCTGAGGCTCTGCCTCAAAAACAAAACAAAACAAACCTGCAAAGCGGTCGTCAATCATTTGGTCATTTACAGATATTTTTGTTCAATAGTTTAACTTATTTTTTAATCTTACTTTATTTTACTTGTTTGTTTATTTGTGAACAAGCCATCCTATCCAGAGATTTGAAGTATATGCCAGGTTTGAAGGAAAGGCGGAAGAGGTCAGCAGGGTCCAGTGCACTAAAGGCAGGCTCTCCCTGGCTGGTCAGCACTAAAAGCCCATTTAAATTACTATAGTCTGGCAAAGAAAAGCAGCCACAGGGTCGTCACAGTGCTGGGGTTTGTGCCAGGCAGTCTCGCTTACTGGAAGCACAAGGGTGGGATGCCCAGGAAATCTGTTTGTTTATTTTTCAGATGATGTGACTGAGTCGTTCACAGAAGACCCTAGTAAGTCAGCCCGGGTTGGGGTGTCCGCTTACACGGGGGGGGGGGGGGGGGGGGGGGTAGGAAGGGTGACACTGAGAGTCACACAGCACCCTTTGGTCTTTCTTGGTGGCCACCATCACAAACATGCCCGTCTTAGCAACGGCTCCACGTCTCTCTGTGACAGTCCCTGCCGCCAGCCTGCCTGGGTCCATGCCTTTTTTCAGTCCTTGTCTCCGGTTCAGCTAATCAGCCCCATATCCGGCTGCTCTTTTCCTCTCTTCACCTTCCGTCCGTTTCGTGTCTCCGCAGATCTGGTGAATGACCCTTCTACAGATGAAACAGGTGATGTTCACTACAGTTCTTTAGAAGCGTGTGATCTGGCACTATTCCCAATATTCATCCCAGCTCCTGAGTTAATCCTGTACTTTTAGTTCTGGAAAAGGGTGGGTGGGTGGGAGTGTCCTCCAGTGACTGGCAGGGATATAAAAAAGAGACAGAGGCTTGCTAGTCCCCTACAAGGAAGGGACAGGGCTGACAGGGTGGCTCGGCATGTAAAGGTGCTTGCTACTCCACCTGAGGAAAGGAGGGAACAAACTCCTAAAGATTGTCCTCTGACCTCCACACATATGTGCTGTCACAGGGACATGCCATGTGCATTTGTGCACACATGGACACATACATACACAAATTAAACCAACAAATGTAAATTTTTTAAAAAAAGGGAACAACGTGGATCAATAGTTTAAATAAGACTGTCTGCGGCCAGGCAGGGGTGGCGCACGCCTTTAATCCCAGCACTCGGGCGGCAGAGGCAGGCAGATCTCTGTGAGTTCGAGGCCAGCCTGGTCTACAGAGCTAGTTCCAGGACAGCCAGGACTACACAGAGAGACCCTGTCTCATAAAATAAAAAAAAAAAAAAAAAAAAAAAAAAAGTCCTGTATGGGGGCTGGAGAGAGTTCAGCAGCACAGGGCTGCTCTTTCAGAGGACCTGGGTTCATTTCTCAGCACCCACAAGGCAGCTCATAACTGTCTGTGTATATCTAGTTCCAGGGGACCCAACACTTTCACAAAGACATATGTGCAGGCAAAACACCAATGCACATTAAAAAAAAGAAAAAAATACCTGTCTACTAAAGATATCCAAAGATATGTATGTTAAGAACACCAATATTCATCCAAAAATATCCCCAGTTACTTCAAGCAATTCTCTCCTCCTGGACGGATGCCTTCCCTTACTCTGATATCACCACGCGCCCTGTCCTGTCCCCTTTCCCCTCAAAATTCAAGGTCCTTCTCACACCTGCTGTTTTGTGCCTTTTCAGTTCTGGCTGATATCACACCTTCCACAGATGACCTGGGTGAGTTCAGATCTGGGATCCCAGAGCCACCAGGGCCATTCTGGGCTTTCCCCAGACCCCATACGGAAGGCAAGGCAGCTGCTAAAGTATCCTAAACAGAACTGAAATTTGTGTATCACCATCCTTGCAGCCATTTGTTTTAAGTTCGTAGCAGTTTTGAACCCTGACAAGCAGGAATTGTGCGGTTTAATATACAACAAACGGAGACAAGATCTTTCCATGTTTCCAAGACTTGATGGGCAAAGGCGAGATAAATATGCAGACCAAGCTGAAGGGGCAAGCAGAGGGTGGCACATGGAGGAAACTGAGCTTTTCAGAGAACAGGGACAGGGAGGAAGAAAAGGAGCCGGGGCTAGACCTCTTGAGGCTGTTCCTAGCGATGGAGTTGGCCCTCATACATGCTAGGCAAGGGTTCCACACTGAACTGCACCCCTGGGTTGGATATTTTTTGGGGGGTGGCTTTTGCTTTTTTGTGTTATTTTGAGACAGGATCTCTCTCTACAGCCCTGACTGGCCTGGAATTCACCATATAGACCCGGCTGGCTTCAGATTCACAGTGCCTATCTCTGCCTCCTGAATGTTGAGGTTGGAGGTTTGTGCCACCACACCCAGGTTCCTAGGTGACTGTTGACAAATGGTTTTGAAAGCCAGCTGCTATGTGCTATCAATGTAAAAGTGAACAAAAGTGAATTTCTATCTAGAAGCGGTGGGGTGTGCCTTTTATCCCAGCTCTCGGGAGGCAGAGGCAGGCGGATCTCTGGGAGTTCAAGGCCAGCCTGGTCTACAGAGTGAGTGCCAGGACAGCCAGGGCTGTTACACAGAGAAACCCTGTCTTGAAAAGCCATTTAAAAAAAAAAAAGTGAATTTCTTCTACCAGGTATCTCTTGTCCAATAGACCATAGGATTCGGATTGTTATCTAGCTCCACCAAATGCTGTCTGTGGGGTAAGCAACAGGAAGCTGTGAGAGACGGAAGTGTTCCTGCCTGTGCTCAGTTTGGGGAGCAGGAAAGGGTTTTCTGGATGACTGGATGTTTTTCTTGAAAAGCCAGCGGGAGAGGGAGTCAAGGGAGTGGAAGGGAAAGACAAGGATGAGTGTAAAAGGCTTAGGGTGGGAATGAAGGCCCCAGGGAAGCCGGAGGTAAGGGAAGCTTTTTGTGAGTTCTGTGCACTGGGGAGGTCATACTCCGCACCCATAGCTCACTGCTGCTATCTCCAGCCTGTGGGGCCAGCATGGGAAGGGATTTAACCACGAGCAGCCTGCAACAGTAGTGTCAGTTAAGGATGGCCTGATCAACGGTAGAGGGACTGCCCTGCTGGGTGACTGGTGATGCCATTCCCCTGAAGAAAAACCCACACTGGCAATGGTTTGTTGAATTTGAAAAATCCCAATAAATAAATAAATAGGACAGTGACCTGCCCAAGATACCAGTTAGACCCGTGTATTCTGAGCTTCAGGAATGAGATCTGAATGAGAAACACAGGATTGGGGATTTTGGACATGCAGAGATGGCTCAAGTGATTAAAAGTTCTTCTAGAGGGACCTGGGTTCTTTTCCCGGCTCACAACCATCTCTAACTCCAATCCTAGGGAACACAGTGCCCTCTGATGGCCTCCTCAGGCACTGCACACATGGGGGCATACAAACATGCAGGTATAGCGCACCCATAGGCATGAAATAAAAACAAAGTTAAAATTTTTTCAAAGAAAAAAGGAAGCACACAGCAGATGAGGTTATCTAACCCTCCGTGCTCTTCCTGATTTATTTATTTATTTATTTTACTATTTTCTTTATTTTTATGTACATTGGTATTTTTGCCAGTATGTATGTCTGTGTAGGGGTATCAGATCCCCTGGATCTGGAGTTACAGATAGTTGTGAACTGCCATGTGGGTGCTGGGAATTGAACCCAAGTCTTCTGGAAGAGGGGTGAGTGCTCTTGACCACTGAGCCATCTCTCCAGCCCCCATCCCTGCACCCTGCTCTCCTTTTCTGATGACATCTTCCCAGAAAACTCTCCTGGCGGTGGGTTTCCTCACGCCTCCAACTCCTAACTGGGAATCAGGTGCACATTAAACTACACCTGGCTCAGGGTGGCTATGAACCCAGCCCCTCCTGTTCTTTACCCCAAGCCTCCCATCAAAGAGGCTGCGATTAGGAAGCCCCTCTTACAGAGGAGAGGCCTTGTCTGAGGAGAGGCCCCTGCAGGGAAGTGGTCCTCCTGCTCAGCTCTAGGGTGCAGGTCTTCTGAGTATCGGGGCCCTTTGTCTTGTGTTTCCAATAATTTGCTAGCTACTGCCCAGTGTGGTGGTATATGCTTATAATCCCGGCCACCTGAGAGGCTGAGGCAGGAGAATCACTTAAGCTCAGGTGTTTGAAACCAACCTGGGCCACATGGGGACCTCTCATCTCTTTAAAGGAGTTTTGGAGTTTTGTTGTTGTTGAGACAGGCCCTTATTATGTAGCCCTGACAGCCCTGGAATTCTATACTGACCAAAACTGGTCTTGAACACACAGCGATCCCCTGCCTCTCCCTCCGGGTGCTGGGGTTAAATTTAGACAGGCACCACCATGATTTCAGCAGTTAACATAATGATACCTTTAATTCAACAGTTCCTCCATTCCTCATGAGAGGAAGGCGAAAGCCAGGGCCCCATCTTAATTGTTAAGTCTCTTTGCTTGTGTGGCTGCAGTCATCCCCTCCAGAAGTTACTAAGAGTGGTCAAGTCATTTGTTCCTTATTCTGAGTATCCTGACTGGGTCTGAGTGAACCACATGGTAGTTACAGAGGTGGTGACGTCTAGAATTGTTAATAACTGAATGAAATTTCTACCTTCCAGCCTCAGCCGCTGACAAAAATGGTACTGCAGGTATGGTTATTATTGTTGTTGTTGTTGTTTTATGTGTTTGGGTGTTTTGCCTGCATGACAGTCTGTGTACCACGAGCATGCAGTACTTATGGAGACCATAAGAGGGCATCAGATTCCCCTGGGACTGTAGTTATAGATGGTGTGGGTGCTGTGAACATGTCAGGGTCTTCTGATTTTTTTTTTTTTTTTTTTATGTATCTTTTTTTCTCTCTCTCTTTGTTTTTGTTTGCTTGCTTAATTAGTTGGTTGGCTTTGAGATTTTTTTGAGACAGGGTTTCTCTGTGTAACAGCTCTGGCTATCATGGAGCTCACTCTGTAGACCAGGCTGGCCTCAAACTCAGACCTCAGCCTGCCTCTGCCTCCTGAGTGCTGGGATCAAAGGTGTGTGCCACCACCGCCCAGCTGTCTTTTCTTTCTTTCTTTTAATATTTATTTCTTTATGTGCTTTATGTATATGGGTGTTTTCTCTGCATGTGTATCTGCACACCACAAGAGGTCATTGGGTCCCACAGGACTACAGTTACAGATAGTTGTGAGCCACCATGTGGGTGCTGGGAATTGAACCCAGGACCTCTGGAAGAGCAGCCATTGCTGTTAAACGCTGAGCCATCTCTCCAGCCCTATGATTACATTTGTACATGTCTTTTCTTAAGCTTTTCTCCCTATAGATTCTTCACCCCTTGTTCTTTAAAGAGCCTTGGGCTCGTTTTATATTTCCTTTTCTGCTCTCCATCAGAGAGTAGTTTCAGGGTTCTTCACCCACACCTCAAGTTCATTTTCCTTCTTTTCAAAATTATCTCCTATCCTAAAAGCCACAGGGAAAAATATGACTACCTTTGACTGGTCCTCAAACTACCTTCTCCTTAAATGGCCTTTGGGTTTTATTTGGTAATGAATGCATTAGGAGATAAATCAGCTTGGCTGCAGACTCCATCATGTTACCGTGACCCGATGGTTGACATTGGTTCCCATAACGCACTGGTTGGTAATTCTGACCTACAGCTCCAGCTGAGAAGAAGAGAGCAAGGCACCTGTGCCTGAGTATTCTCATTCTTCAGAAAGAGACCATCAGATCTCATTGTCATTTTCACACTGCTACCTGAATAGTCCTAGAAAGACTTTTTTCCCCTAGACGAGTCCTCAGAGATTATTTTACCTACTTCTGCTTCCAGGTTGGGAAGCACCTAAATTTCATTTGAGTCGATTTCTTCTAGCTCTGTTTTTGGTAAGCAAGAAGGACATGCCTCGAATACAGTGATTTTTGTGAAGACTGCCCACCTCCCCCATTCTGTCTCCCAGCCCTTTAGCCCTTTGTTTATATGGCTTTGATTTGGACTTCCCTATTTTTTGTGTGTGTGTTGGGCAGAGTGCTGGGATGAGAAATTCGCTTGTACAAGACTGTACTCTGTTCATCGGCCGGTAAAACAGTGCGTTCACCAGGTCTGCTTTACCAGGTAAGAGATTCCAGAATGCACCGTCCATGGTGGCAATGTTTGTGTCAGTGACTAGTTAATGCACGCTCACCACGGAACCAGTCCTCGATGGGGCAGAGGTTGCTAGCATAATCCATTTAGCCATTTCTGAAGGTGCTGCTAGAACTTGGCATCTGGGTTGAAGTAGCCACAGTCTGATAGATTGCAGCGGAGGTGAGGGCCATATAAGAAGGATGACTGTGAGAGATACTGGCGTGTGGCATTAGCCAACTGAAAGCTGAAGCAAAAGACCCAGTTCTGGTGTGGAAAACAATGGACAGGAGTATTAGGATTTGACAAGTGAGAAGAGTAGCTAGTACCCACTTCTTTTTGTTTTGCTTTTATCGTTAAAACCATTTCCATCTGCTAAGGGAAAGATTACTTAAAAATTACATGCTTGAGAAAATCTAGATGAAGGGAGGCCAGCGGGAAATAAGGAGTTGAAGAGGGATCCTGACTAGACCCTCTCACCCTCTCTGTTTCCTTCCCTGACCATGACTTTGGCACTGCGGCAGTTTACGGCGTATGTACATCATCAACAATGAGATCTGTTCCCGACTTGTCTGTAAAGAACACGAAGCTATGAAAGGTATGATGATGTCCGGGAGGTCAGTGGACGGGGCAGTGATGAGAGGTAAATAGATCGTGACGCTGTCGGATCCACAGTCTGGTTTCTAAGGAGGGTGCTGGGCAACTGTCTTGCTTTCCATCAGCCCCTATTGGGAGCTACACTAAATAAACTGACTATATCATAACCGGTATTCCTAGCTCCCTTCGCAGCTAGACCTCACCCCCCAACTTTCCTACAGTGAGAATTTTCTGAAGCTCAAGCTGTTCCTAAACTTTATTTTTTAGATAAAAGAAAAAAATCTTCAGTGTATGAGTGTTTTGCTCAAATGTATGTGTGTAAGCATATGCACACAGACCATGGGAATCAGAGGACAGCATTGGGGACCCTGGAACTGGAGTTACAGATGGTTGGAAGCCACCATGTGGATGCTGGGAACTGAACCCGGGTCCTCCACAAGAGCAGCTGGTGCTCTTAATGCTGAGCCACCTCTCTAGCCCTTCTCGGGCTCTTTCTATGTCATCTGTTAGAGGTCCTGGGGAATAGCCAAGTCATCACTACAAATAATAGACTCAGTGGCCATGTTGATCATCAGCCATGTTCACAGCTCTAAAAATAACAGGCACGTGCACACAAGTTTGGAGACAGGAGGGTTTAGATAGGATCCAGTAACAGGTAGGGCATTGAGAATGGCTACATTACAAACATTCTGCCAATCCAAGAAACCTTTTACATTGCTTATTATGCCATTTCCAAGGCAGAAGAAGGTGGGAAGATGTTAAAAGAGTAATTTTCTAGACTCCTAAATGGGTAGCTGTAGATTAGGCATGGTGGGAACAAACATACTTCTCACCTTCCCCATGGGCAGCCCCAAATGGCTGCTGTGGTTGGTGTCAACACCACAGACACAGACACTTTTGACTCAGTAGCCAGCTTTGCACTGGGTTCATGAGTAAGATCTGTAGTTGATTTCGCAGAAGGAAACTCGCTGCTTGCCCCCATTGGCTCTGTGCAAGCCACCTGCGAGGGAAACACCTTGACATTGACTATGAGTGTTTGGAACTCTAGGCACTTTCAAGTACCTCGGGGGATTTACTGCAATTAGCAGTTGTAAACACCTAAGTGCAGGATGAATGACCGGACTTCATTTTTCTATTTAGTAGGTCCATGACTGGAACTGGGAGCTGGGAGTATAAGAGAAACTAATTCTGCACACATGGTTTCATTTCAGTCCTCACAAATGCACCACTGAGGCAGGTATTAATACCTGCTTACAGAAAGGCACGATGAGACTCATATAAGGTTAGAAACTTTCTAGAAAGGTACAAGTATTCAGAAGTGGCACCACTGGATGTCTTAACCTGGATCTTCTCCTCCTCCATGTTTTGATGGTATCACACTGAGGCTTCTTTCCCTTAAAAGGAGAGCATTTGTTCCAGTCTGGTATCCTCCCATAATGCTTTGCTTTTCCTCCAGATGAGCTTTGCCGGCAGATGGCAGGCCTGCCTCCACGGCGACTCCGTCGCTCCAACTACTTCCGACTTCCTCCCTGTGAAAATGTGAATTTGCAGAGCCCCAGTGGTCTGTGATCATCAAGGAAGAAGGAAGAAAATGTGGGGGAGGGGAATCAGACATTCCTTCTCCTCCAACCACTGCCATCTGTCCCATAGACATGTATTTTTAAAACTAAGCCCTTTGCAATGTCCAGGCTTTGACCCTACTCTCTAATTCTCACCAGAACTGGTAACTTTTGCCTCATTTTGCCATACTGACAATACAGTGTCTATATTGTTACATGGTTTCACTGATTTCTAGTATCATAAACAGGGTAGACAGACGATGACCACACGGCTTAGGCATATTCTACATTCAGTCCCCACAGAAGAAAGGGGCCTGGGGGTGTGTGGCTTAATTAAAGAATTAACCTAGCATGTGAGAAGCTCTACGTCTGATGGTGTAAACCTGAGCATAGCCGAGCAGGAACATCAGAATTTTAAGGCCATTTTCAGCTCCACATCAAGTTTGAGGGCAGTATGGGCTATGTGAGACCCTAATCTCAGAAGATAACTTTAGCTTACTATTCCTTGGTTCTGTTTTTTTCATGGTGCTATGGGTCAAACTCGGGGTCTTGTACATGCTACTCAAGTGCTCTACCACTAACCCACACTCCTCCCCCCAAGTTAGTAATTGTAGTTATTGAATGTGTCAGCAGTAGGAGTGTGGAAAAGGCTCTGTTCCTCAATTTTGGCTAGCCACAGAACTTCATTCAGTTGCCTTCTAGATGTTTCCTAGACTAATGCCTTATCATACACATAATGCTTCTCTATTCACTTGCAACATTTTGCATGGATTGCGCTAAAATTTGCCCAGCAAGTCTTCCTGACAAGAAAGGTCACGGGTAGGCCAGAGGAGATGCTCAGTAGCTAAGAACACTAGATGTTCTTCAATAGGACCTGGGTTCAGTTTCCAGCCAGCACTCACACGTTGCTCACAATCATAAGTCCACTCCCAGGGGACCTGAAATCTTCTGGCTTCCATAAGCCCTGCATGCATATGGTGCACACTCATCCATGTGGGAAATACACATAAAAATAAACCATTTTTTAAAAAGGAAAAAGAAAAGTCATGGACATTTTCCTCAGTTTTTTCATTGATTTCCAATAATTTGGAAGCTTCACAGCGTGCACCTTGATCATGCTCACTCTCCAGTCCTCCCAAGTCTGATGGCCCACCCTTGTAACGCCCCCCAAGAGAAAACAATGTCCAGTTTGTGTTGTCCATATACTCAGTGGGCATTGTTTTAGTTGCAGGAGATTTCCCAGCAGAACCAAGAATCCTACAGTCTTCCCTAAGAGTCCATAAAGACACCAAATGTTGTCTTCTGCTAAGCTCATAGTCTGGGATGAAAATGAGAGAGCTATGTCAGGTATGGAACTTGGCCCATAATGCCCTATGCAATTTCTTGGGCAAGCTGTCTAATTGGAAAGTACAACTGGAAGCACAGGAGCCAGCCCATCTCCACAAAACCAACTACACAACCTAATGTGATGCCACGGCCACAATTATACTAGAATAAAATGCAACTCCCCGCCCCCATTTTCTACTGGCGCTAAGAACAAAACCACAGCCTCCTGCTTGCTAGGCGCAGCCCTATCCCCCCCCCCATTCCATCTTAAATAAGCGACTAATTATATATCACGAACACCTTTGTCTGAAAAACTCAACGACTTTCTGTAAAACCCAATGAAATTTAATGAGAACTGGGCAAAGACAGTTACACATGACAACAGGAATTGGATTCCTTGATAACACTGAGAAAAGGAGCTAAATGGAGGCCAGATTCTTGCTATTAGGAAACAATTGTGTTAATGGGATCTGCAAAAACCCAAAACAGCCACACACACACACACACACACACACACACACACACACACACACACATCCGCCTCTACAATTAAACACTTTGGTGTATTGATAAACAGATTAAAGCATATTGCAGCCACAATAGGGAAACCTCACAGGCTCAGAACTTCAAATGGGCATCTTAAGTCTCTCTTCCTGAGACTGGAGAGATGGCTCAATGGTTAGGAGCACTGACTGTGCTTCCCAAGGCTCTGGGTACAATCCCCAACAGCCACCATGGCTCAGGCCATCTGACTCCAGGTCCAGTGCCCTCTTGTGGCCACTTCAGGTACTAACCACTTAGATGGTATACTGGTAAACATTTATACACATAAAATAATAAAATAAGCTTCCTCCTCTCTGAGTTCAGTTCTCAGCTCCTGACGACACCTTATACAAACATATACTGATAAAACATAAGAGTCTTTTCATTAATCCCAGCACTAGGGAAGCAGTGGCAGGCAGATCTCTGAGTTGGAGGCCAGCCTGGTCTACAGAATAAGTTCCAGGACAGCCTCCAAAGCTACACAGAAACCCTGTCTCAAAATAAATAAACAAACAAATAAATAATAAAGATTAAAAACACTTTTCATAAGGCTTTTAAATATCAAAGTAATGATATAGACATAACCCTGTTTTTGTTTTTTGTTTGTTTTTCAAGACAGGGTTTCTCTGTATAACCTTGGCTGTCTTAGAACCCACACTGTAGATCAGGCTTGACTCAATCTCAGAGATCAACCTGCCTCTGCCTCCCAAGTGCTAGGATTAAAGGTATTTGCCCCAACACCCAGATAATTACTGTTATCCTAATTTGATCAGTACATGTATCGATTTACCATATGTGGGCCAGTGAGATGGCTCAGCCAGTAATGGAGCTTGCTGCCAGGCCTTTAGACCTGAGTTCATGTCCTAGAGAAAGGAGGAAGAGAATTGATTCCCTCAGACTATACCTTGGCCTCCACTGGAGTGCACATGTGCAGGCACACACAAATAAATAGAAAAGTTTCTAAAAGGAAGTATCACATGTTCTTCATAGATGAATACAATTACTATACGCTTGGTGGAAACTTTTAAAGGCATATTTTTAAAAAAGGGCTCTGCCAACTGTTTGGGCCAACTACACCTCACACATCTGAATCAATTACCATGTTATACTCCACCAATGTGTATACTTAATAATATAAAATGTCAATATTTAATGTTTAGTTTAGAAGACATTCAAAACTTCGCTTTACTCCTGGGACCTTAGAACTATTTGGGGGGGGTTCTCTTCAAGAGCTCAGCCCTTCCATGCCTATCCTCTCCTCCACTGAGTGTTGTGTCGGTTGAAAATTAAGTATTTTAAAATTTTTTAATCAAATTTCTCAGAATAAAGTGGGTTTTGTTTTTATATGGTCATTGCTTTGTTCGGTTTTCTTTATTTCTTTATATTTGTTTGATACAGTGTCTCACTGTGTAATCTTGGCTGGGACTCACTGGGTAAGGCTGAGCTGCCCTTGAACACATGGAGCTTTTGGAGGTTTGCTTGTTTGTTTTTTGTCTTTGAGACAAAGCCTCATGGGATTTATTCATGTGCCACCACGCCCAGGTTTACGATCCTCCAGGGTTCAAAGTCAGAATTGCGTTTAAGCTGGACAAGCGCTCCGTCTATCCCTGGTAACTGGTTCTTTATCTTTTCTCCCACGTTTGCAAAACAAAACCAAAGAAGAAACCAACAAAAGAAGTCCTTCGTCGCACTTTGAAGACACAGACTCTAGCTGGGCATTAGTGGCACACTCTTTAACCCTAACACTCTGGAGACAGAGGCAGGCAGATCTCTGAGGCCAGCCTGGTCTACAGAGCAAGTTCTGGGGCAGCCAGGGTTACAGGAAGAAACCCTGTCTTGAAAAACAAAAGAGGAGAAGGAGAGACTCTGGTACTCAGTATTGACCAGATGTCTCCATTCGGCCCTGCCTATTCTACTCCGCACTGCACAACTTTGTCACTCTTCCGTCAACATTCCCAATGTTCTAACTTGCCTCCAGATGCGGCCGGCCCCTTTGCTCTTGGTCAGTCTTTGGTCCAACAGCCTGTAAAGGTTTACACTTTCCTTTTTCCTCTTGCATGACCAAATGCCTGTGTTTTGTCATTTCTTAGTGTTCTTATGTTCTCCACACTTTCTGTATTGTGTATTGAGTATATGATGTATATGGGTGGTTTGTGTACATGCATGTGTGAAAGCACGCACCCACAGGCTCATACAAAGGCCAGAAGAGGACATCAGATGTCTTTGTCTATCACGTTCCATTTTATTTCTTGCACCTGGAGCCAGGCTTAGCCATCCTGACCCTGACTTTAACAGCACTGGGGTTGCAGGTGTGAGGGGACAACACCCATCATTGTCAGTACTAAGGATTTGAACTTAGGCCCTCGGGTTTGTGCATCTGAGCCATCTCTCCAGGTCTCTCTACACATTTTGGCGGGGATGAAGATAAAACCCACAGCCTTATGCCTGTTAGGAAAAGCCCTCTACCTCTGAGCTACATCTCCAGCCCTGAACCCTTTCACCTGGTACATTAATGTTGGAATTAAAGGGATTGCTTCAAATGTCCTTTAGAGGTTGGGTGCTTCCTCGTGTCCTGGGTAGAAATGGCATCCTCTGGGTCCACATTCAGTTCACTCTTACTTGCCCATCCCAAACTGAGTTGATCCTACTCAGCACCTAACTAACCTTCTCAATGCCATGCCTAAGATTCAAGAACATTCTCTCTTCTTCTCGAATGAACGACGGCTCGAAACTCAAGTGTGAGCTCTATTCACTGGAGCGCTGTGCACACACACTTTCCCTTGGTGTTTTTGACTCAGAGGAAGCTGGTTCATAGCCAGCTGCTTTCTCTGCCATGCCACTTAACTTGCAATGACACCAAGCTGTGAATGCTGTCACCACAAGCTCCTCCCCACCTCACTTCAGAGAGATGGCTGGCCAAAGGCTGCACACCTTCTCGGGAGGTACACTCAGCTTGCTTCTGCTGTCCTGAAGCGGCTGGGACACAGAGAGGAAAGGGCAGACTCTGAGAAAAAACTGATGGGAAGATGGAAAGCACATCAGGGATCGGGGTCATTGAATGGGAGAGCAATGACAGACTGATGCCAGGACATTGCAATTCCAGATTCAAAGAGAAAGCATGCCAAGCTTCCCTGAGAGATTTGGAAACTTAGGGTGGGGAGAGAGATCGGAAGCACAGGGGAGAGGAGGCCGGCCTGTCTGTGTGGTTTAGGCAGAGGGTGGCATTGGCAAGTTCAGCCATTTAGCTAGGGCTGGTGGTACAGCCCATAATCCCAGCTCCTCAGAGGGTTGAGGCAGGAGGATCACAAGGCTTAAGGTCTGTCTACACAACTTAGTCAAACTGTCT